TTAATGTTATCGAGTTCAGATTGTTGTTCCGGAAGTTAGAATAGATTCGTTATATTATTTGGGACTTGTGTGCGAAGTTTGAGGTCATTCCGAGTTGATTTGATATGGTTCGGCACGAGTTTTGGAAGTTGAAAGTTCAAAAGTTCATGAAATTTGATTTGAGATGCGATTCGTGGTTTTGATGTTGTTATATGTAATTTGAGGCCTCGAGTAGGTCCGTTTTATGTTTTGGGACTTGTTAGTATGTTTGAACGGGGTCCCGGAGGCTCAGGTGTGTTTCAGACGTGTTTCAGATCATCTTTGTCTCATGTTGCATTGTTGTAGAAGGTCCGGTACTGGTGTCGCGCACCTACGATGGGTTTTGCGCTGGTGCAGTGGTCGTAGAAGCGAGGTCATGGTCGCACCTGCGATGAAGTCTGGAGTTGGGTTATATCCACAGATGCGGTATAGGGGACGCATCTGCAAAGGCGCAGATGCGGTATCTTTGGCGCAGGAGCGGGATTGGCATATATGCGGTGATTTTCCTCGCACTTGCGATGTCGCAGAAGCGGAGCATGTTCCGCAAGTGCGAGAGGTCAAGCGTTAGTGATTTTTCGCAGAAGCGGATTTGTTGTCGCATAAGCGACATTGGTTGAGTTGGGACTTTTGCGCAGAAGTGAAGTAGAGGCTCCAGAAGCGGGTCTTCAGTCGCAAATGCGACTTTCGTGGCAAACTTTTATATATTAGAAGGGTTGGTTCATTTTATCATATTTTGGGATTTAGAGCTCGGTTTTAGGCGATTTTGGAGAGGATTTTCACCACATGGATTGGGGTAAGTAATTTCTACTCGGCCTTGATTATATTTCATGATTCCATCTTCGATTTTGACATTTGATTGATGATTTTTAAGAGAGAAATTAGGGTGGTTTTGCATAAAATATCGTAAAGTGAATTATTGAGTTTTGAACATCGATTCAGAGTGAATGGGTTGTCAGAATTTGTGAGTTTTGTCGGGTTCCGAGGTGCGGGCCAGAGTTTGACTTTTTGGTTGACTTTGAGTTTTTGATTAAAGATTCGACCTTTATCGCTTGGGTTTGTTTCCGAAGGCATTATTTGATGTTTTGAGTCGCTTTTGGCTAGTTTCGGACCGTTCGGAGGTTGATTTGCGCGGATGGTGTTTCTAGAGTATTATGTGGCTTGCTGGGTATTTATTTTGGCTTGCTTGAGGTAAGTATCTTATCTAAACTTGGTTGAGGCACTAGTTGCCTGACTTATTTGTGATATCTACGTGCTATGGGTGCGCATATGTGTGGGGATTGAGCCCCTGTGCGTGCACCGAGGTATTTATCCATGCTCGGGATAGTACTTAGGCTTTGATATGCCTTGAATTGACTATTAAGCTTTAAGCTGTGATGTTTCTTATACTTGCAATCTTGTTGTGAACTATTTGATCTATGTTTGAGGATTGAATAGATACTAATTCCCTGAATGAACTTGATAATTGCTAGTTCTATGATGAAATTATCGATTTTAGCTATGATAGAACACTTTGTATATGCCTACACTTTAGCATGTTATTATACCAGTCCAGGAGCATGAAATCTGATATTTATCCACCATACACATGTGTTCTTATATATTTGCTTATGTGATATGATTTGGACTGGATGCCTGTGACCACGCCGAGCGGAGTGTATTGTTATTCCTGTGATCACGCCGGGCAAATTATATTGTTATGCATGTGACCACGCCAGACAGATTGTATTGTTAAGTCTGTGACCACACCGGCGGATTGTATTGTTATACATGTGACCATGCCGGGCGGATTGTATTGTTATGTATGTGACCATGCCGGGCGGATTGTATTGTTATGCCTATGACCACGCCGGACAGATTGTGATATAGCCTGCGACTATGCCGGGTGGATTGTGATATAGCTTGCAACCATGCCGGGCAGATTGTGATATAGCTTGTGATCACGTCGGGCGGATTTGTTATATTGAGCATGTGACCATGCCGGGCGGATTATGATATTGAGCATGTGACCACGCGAGACGGATTATATTGTTAAGCATGTGATTATGCTAGGCGGATTGTATTGTTATGCATGTGATCATGCCGAGAGGATTGTATGCTATGCCTGTGACCACGACGGATGGATTGTTTTGTTATATCGTGACCACGCCAGGCGAAGTATGATATTGAGTCTGTGACCACGTCGGGCTGGTAGTATGGTAAATTGCCCGTGTTTGCATGTGGATATGGATTCATCCCCCTAGGATCACCCTCTCATGTTTCTCTCTTGTTGGTGTACATGCAGATTGTGAGAAACTGACGGGCTTCTGGTTGATGTGAGTTATTATAACAAAAAGCGACTTACTAGTGAAAATGTGATGGTATGGTTAACTCAAAATAATTATACAATACAATGAATTTATTGGAGGCAGATAACGATGTGGTAAAGGTGTCAACTATGCAGTTAGAACAAAACGAGCAAGAAGGAATTATGTGATATTTTCCTAAAGTTTAGAGAACCTCAACAAAACCTATGGCTGAGCAGGTATTCCTTTGAGAACAATAAAACAACCTCTCTAAAAGTAAGTTATGTAACCAAAAGAAACGAGTATCCTAGTTACAGAGAGAATGTAGCACCAACACTTCGGCTAGATCGAGAGGGTGATTTAAAGAGAGTAAACAGAATATCCTACTTAAATGATCAGGGATATGTTCATGTACATGCCACTGAGATAGAAAATTGAGAATGGACACTAGTTATGAAACACACATTCTTACTATGATAGCTCTCAAGCTACGGTTCAAACGGCATCATTGTCGACTGCAATAGTGGTAACACCATGGGTTTCTTATCGAGGATTTACTCAAAAAGGAAAATGTATTATGCCCAAACTTAAGGAAAAGTAAAGGTCATTCTACAAAGAGTTTGGAAGGAGCTTAAGGTTTCAAAGAAATTCCTATACGAACAAGTGACACTTTTAGTAGATTTGGTCAACAGTGCCTTGAAAGTGTTAAATAATGAAGAGAATTCATGAGAATTTTCGCTTAGGAAGTAATGCAAGCCTTGAATGATCCTACGAGCATTACAAGAAGAAAAGAAGGTTAAGAATGACCTTAATCTCAAGATTGTTTTTCAATTGACTTGATGTCTCGTGGGTTAATGTTACAAGAATATATGTACAACATATGTGATTCCTTCGAAATAGAAGAATCCATAAAGAGAATAATTTGTAAGAAAATCCATCATTACAAACTTGAATAGATAAGTTACAAGTTGTAACCTAAAGATGTAACTTGATTCAAGATATCCTTTATTACGAATTATTTTTTCACTTTCGCATACTATAATACAAGTGAGATTAACCCATTAAACTATATGTTCAATTAAATATCCTCATATGAAATCGGGAACCATTATTCAAATTTAAAATGTTCAATCAAAGGCATCATAGTTTAAATTCTAACAAAAACAAAGAATTATGTGATTTCTTTTATCTGCCTAAATTTTGATGAATAGAATTATCCGGTAAGATAGTTGCATTATGGGTAAAAGTAAAACTAGAAAGGAGAGGAAATAAATTTTGGAGCTGATGGAGAGTTGGTAGGTACGTAATCGGAGCTCTTTTATTACTAGCAGCCGTAGCAAAAACTTGTTTGACGGAGCTATAGAATGTTCTCATGCCTCAAGGCGATAAGCCAATAACTCTAGCCTCTAGGGGGAATTAACACTGAATATTTAATCTATTTCTAAATTCTAAGTCACTGAGGAAAGGAAATTTTGCTTTCCTTTCATTTGTTATTCGATTTTTTCTGATTGAAATAATTATGAAGAATAAGAATCATAATATATGATGGATTCCAATCAAATGCCCAACTTAATCTATCCAAACATTTTGTAATTCGCTAACTTTGAAATACTGGGGCTAATTAAAAGTTAAAACTCCCCATGAATATAAGCTTGTAGCGATTAGCTCTGCCATAGTTTCAAATATTACAAGTATATATGTCTATTTTCACATCAATATCTTTCACCTGAACTAGAGTTCTTCTATTTTGCAACGATCCAAACAAGAATTACAAGAAGAAGAAAAAAGAGGTTGTGCTACTGACAGAAAATGAAATAATAGTTTTCCGAGTTCGTAATCTAATTATCTATGAACTAGAGTCATATATATAAACATAAATAAACCTGATTGTTTTTATATTTGAACTTAAATTAAGTAAACGAATATATGCGACTTACGAAATTCAGAAGGAGGTGGATTTATAGTTGAGCAGTCTTCAAAGAAGATATGATAACTAATCTTAATAATTAGTTATAAGATGGTAAATTGTTCATCTTTCCTGTGTATTTTGTACTTAATTTTCTATCTTTAGATTTGTTACAAAATGTGAAACCTGGAGGTAACTTCATTATACTGCCCGTGAATATATTAAATCCTATTTAGAGACGACCTAATTACTCTTGAGATTTAGATACATAACACTTGTTTGTTATAAAATATCACGCATCTTAATTTTCAGGTTATTAGTTCTACGTACTTACTATGGGCTATTATTATCTTTAAAATGTGGCTATCTTTTAAATAAGTTGATAGTGTAAAAGGGTTATTATCTTTAAAATAAGTTGATTGTGTAAAAAGCTTTTGTACTGTCAGCATCAATCAATTGTCAAAAAAATGGTTTAGCGTGTTTTTGAGTTTTATTTTCTAGCCGTTGCTTAGATAAGGGAAGGATGTAAGTATGTGTGAGCTAAAAAAGAAAGGTCTTAAGATTTGGCCAAAAATTTGGCAGATCTAGTCATTTGGACAAACATTAAAGAAAGGTTAAGCTAGAAAATGGGCTCCCAACTAATCAGAAAAAATAATGAATTCCTTGTTAAATTAAATTAAATATGGTCCTGAGATATCTTGAAATACGACCAAAGATTTTTCCATTACAAACAAACATAAAACGTCAGACTCATGACTCATGAGGATGACTTTTTAGGCCAAAAGGTAGTGTGAATGATGCATTGATACGCCTCTTCCTCTACTATAGAGTATTGCCTAACCCTAACCTCTTAAATCTTAGCAAAAAAAAAACTACTCCCTCCCTTTACTTAACCTTATCGATCTCTTATATCAACAACTCTCCAACCCAAGATTTTTCAACTGATTTGTTAATTTGCTGTTGAAATATCATGCTTATAATTTGAAGAGCAGTATATATGTACATAGTAGTATTTGTTTTGGTGAAGGTACAAAGTGATGGAATCGTTGAGGGCATATTTGAAGAGTCCAATGGGTCCAAAAACAACTCACTTTTGGGGTCCTATGGCCAACTGGGGATTTGTCATCTCCGTATGCTTCTCAACTTCAATTCTATCATCTTAATTTTTCAGTTGTTTTAGATATCTCTCAAATATTAATGATTTTCTAATTAGGGAATAATGGATGCAAATAAGCCCCCCGATGCAATATCTGGCAACATGACTGCAGGTGAGTTAGACAGCCCCTTTTGCTTTATTTTTGTAAAAAAATACTATCGCAAATTATCAACTAATATTGCATTTGCATTTACACCTTAAGAGCCCTTTTTGCTTAATATAATGATTGAAATTCATAATAGAATTTGATGATTTTTTTCTGCTACACTAACGAAAATAGCCTTAAAGTTATTTACATACAACGGATCCACGTTAATGATGAATTCGATCGAATTTTTTAAGTTCGGTTACTGATTAATCAGTTTGTATGTTTTGAATTTTCGAGTTTGAGATTATAAGTGGATTTTTTTTTTTTTTTTACAGAAATGATTACCCAAATGAAGTACTCATGTTAAATTGCCCGAAAAGTTCCTCATTCTTACTGCAATCATCCAAATATAGTATTCAAGTGATGAATTTATTATCAAGAAAATGCAATAAAGACATTAATACGGCCGATAAGGAGTAGCAATAGTAAAATCATGTCCAAATAGAAAGTATTCTGACAGTAACTTAGTAATTAATATTGAATATATGAGATTATATCTAATGAGTAGGGTATTAAACTTATTACTATTTTCATATGGATAATGGACAAAATATAAATTATAAAAAAATTAGATTTTCGGATATTCAAAAATCCGAAGTACCAAATCCAATATCCAATCCGAAGTTCAAAATTTTTAAAAATTAAAACCAAAATCCAATCCGATCCGAAAATCCAAACTAAAAATCCAAAAAACTCAAATTTCTGTTTGGATTTCGGTTTTGCCCAAACTATGCCCACCCCTAGCTATTGATTACTTTTAATTGAGATTTATCTTTATTTTAAACCACTATAAAATTTTATTACCATAAATAATTTATGTGGGTGTAAGATTTAAGTTATACAAAAAGATTTGCTTAAATATTATTACCCCAAACAAATTATTGCTTAATCATTAGTTTTATTCCAATCAAATTATTTATTTTTTGTCTCCCATTTTTTTTAGCTCGGAATGTTTTTTTTTTCTGGTAATCAATTTACACATAAAGAATATATATATATATNCCCTCTTTGCTTTGAATCTTGATGGTAAGAACTAAATAGGTTTAAGACAAATATTATTCAATCGTTGTAACTAATAAAACACTAAAAAAATTTACATTACTTGGGTTGGGTATACGAACAAAGTCCCACATTAGTTGCTGAAAATGTTGAGAGCCTAAATATAAGGTGTAGGGATCTCTTAAAGATATAAGGTCTTTTAGGAAAAATCGTATGGGCTTATCCTAAAGCGGCCAATATCACACGATGTTAAGAATACAATTGGACCGGTTTAGCCCAACAACTGGTATCTGAGTTCAGGTTCAGAGGGACGAGTATGGCGATGACAAAATGATGATGCAGGGGCTCAGTTTGCTTAACTTAGAAACGTACACACAAAAAGAAGCTAGTTGCAACCTTCGATGGCCATAAATACTCTAATGATATAGGAGGCACACAATGAATCTCGAAAATTGACTTGTGAATCGTGGTAATGGGCCACGTGGAACTGGTTTGAGAGAGAGACTCGCGATTGCGTGGTAGTGGGCCATGTGAAACTTAGTTCGAGAGGGAGATTATTGGGTGTGCGGACAAAATTTCACATTGATAGATAAAAAGATTGGGAGTTTACATATAATGTATAGGGAGCTCTTAAGGGTGTGGGGTCTTTTGGGAAAGCCGCCGAGGGCTTATCCCAAAGCGGATTATATCATATCATGTTAAATATATCATTGGACCGTTTTAGCCCAACAACTCGACATGATGACAAGAATTAATATTACCTTGGGTTGATGGCGCACCATGGTGTTAAAATCCCGAATCTGCCTAATGACAAAGAATACAAATTAAAAATATTTTTACAAGGAGAAAGAAGAACGATGCAAATAGAGGAAAGAGGAAGTTAAAGGTTTTGTTTGGGAATGGTAATTCTAGATACGAAAGATATTAGGGGTAAAATAGAAAATGGTCAAATCAAAAGTGTTTATAAGATAAATAGCTGATTTTGACTTATACGCACTTTTGGTGATTATCAAACCCATAAGATAAAAAATGTTTATAAGCTGGTTTGACCATTATAAATTTATCCACACCCTCTAAATCCTAAATTTACCTCTAACTTTTCTGCAACTCGTGCTTTTGATTCTACATGAATGATTACCTCAACTTAAAAAAATTTACATTTCTATATTTTGAAATTTTGACCTAGCTTTAATTTTGTCAATTTGGCTGCAGTGTTATGTGTGTTCTCAATGTTGTGTATGAGATTTGCATGGATGGTGAGGCCTCGCAATCATATGCTGCTAGCTTGCCATGCTGCAAATGAGTCTGTGCAACTCTACCAACTTTCCCGTTGGCTAAGGCATCAATGGTATGTTCCAGTTCCACCACTGCATAGGTTGAATATTACATCCTGTCTAACCACAATATACTGATAGCTTAAAAAGTATTGAAGGAAACTGCATATAACAAGAGTGGAATTAATAATCTAAAAATAAGGCAAGTCAATTTTTAGAACATGTTAAATTGCAATGACTGCGTAAAAGTTCATTTACTTCCAGTAGATATATTAAATCCTATTACATCATCACGTGAAAAGAAATGTTTAGGACTGCTGGAAAATTATTTCACGCCCCTTTTGTTTTTCAAAAATGAAAATAATTTTTATTTGGTTAAGAAAACATGTTTGGTGTTTAGACAATCAAAAATGATACTTTCTTTTCAAAGAGGAAACAGAAAGTGCGACACACAGCCTTTGACTCTTGAAATCATTTTCTTCTCTTTCACTTTGCATCACTTGGAACTTAAAAAGAAAAAGAGAGTTTTAGCCCTTGAATTTTTTCTCTTCTATTTTATTTTCTATTTCTGTAGCGAAAATCTGATGATTTTTCATGTTGTGGTTATTTGTAGGAACCTACAGCAGAAGGAAGCCGTAGCAGCTACTGACTAACTTAGTACTACTTCTTCTCCAAAAAAAGAAACTGTGTAGTTTCCACTTTCCACAAGTTTAGTTATTTACTGAGGAAAATGTAAGCATAAAAAGAACCTTAAACCTTTAGGGTTGGAAAATAATACATATATTAGCTTTGATATTATTAATCCCTTGTTTGGTAGTGTTTTCAACTTATTAGTTATAACCATATTCAGAGCAAACCATAGCATTAGCAATACCATAATTTTTAATATATGAATAAGCATGTATAAAAATAGAATTGCCTTTCCAAATCCTTTTCAATGTGGAACGTATTTTTATAAACAAACAATTTAAAAAATAAATAAATTATGCAATACATATTATTTTTAATACACTAAACCATACAGTTGATAAGAAATAATCCCAGTATTACTAATTCCAGCACTACTAATATACCTTATTCAGTACTACTATTCTTATACACCCTACCACGGGACATCATTATTTAAAACATTCTCAGCTATTTAAACAGATTGTTTATTGCACATTACAGGGTTGAGAAAACAAACTTCAAATGAAGGTCCTGTATGCTAGTTTCAATTAGCCAAAAATAAATCAAACAAAGTCTGTTTCTGAATTGCACGTTAGACAGTGCAATGACAGGAAGAGAGTTTACTGTTAATAATTCAACGTCTCAATCTTATTAATGTGGCATGCCTACATGCGTTAAATATCCAAACATGTCCAGAAGCCCAGCAATTATCTGGCAATCACCCCGAAAAGGTGGTGGCTCCTACTTTGTATCTTTTATTCTCCTTGCAAAATAAAGGCCTCCTAATCTGGGTACAACACACTAGTAGGCAACAAAAAGCCTACTAGTCTATCAATGTGCAGAAAGAAATAAACTCACCAACATTCAGGTGACTCAGCCATCTAGAGATGTTGTCAGTAAATCAAAACTTCAGAGTTCCAGTTTTCAGATCTTCAAGACGAAAGAAAGAAAAGAAGAGAGGTTAAAGCATCCTTCCGTCATGAGAGGGCTTTCTTCACTTCATTTGTGACCGTCTGAGGTGATTTCTCTGCAGGAAGGTTCACTACCATATTCTTTTTCGCATAGTAGTCAATTACCTGCACATCAAAACCAAAATATTTTGTTTACAACTCTGCGCAAAGGCAATCAGAAGACGGGAGCCCACTTTTGAACATCAAAAATGGAACCTTACTTAAAATTGGATTGCCAAAACAAGCTAATAAATTTATGAAACAACTACGTAACTACAAATAATCTAAGTTTTGATGTGAAAAGTCTAGCCTAAATTGCAGCATGAAAAATCACTCTTGACAATCTAAACATCAATGTGATTAAGTTTGCCAAACAGATTGTAAATTAAGTCCAATGCCAAATGCAATTGTTAGTCTGGCAGATGCTTTCCCAAACAAGATCTTAGTCAGTCCCGTCATGAACAATTCAAATAAGCTTGAGATCAACTCTCAACCAAAGCAACTTAGAGCTAAAAAGAAGTATACCGGTTCAGTTTGCCTATGGAAGGATTCCAGCCTTGACTTAAGAACAGCAGCGGTGTCATCTTTGCGTTGTATCAAAGGCTCTCCAGTGACCTTCATGAAGACAAACCAATTGACTTAGCCTCAGGCCTAAGAGAAATACCCCTAATAGACAGTTGTGAAGCTAAATATTTACATTAGAAATTAAAGTTGCATGACAGACAATTAAAACTATTAATTAGTAAAAGAGCCTAAATTGTTTATAGTGTAGATATCATGCCATGAACAATTTTAAGGGAGGGGATTGTATTATCATTACAAGAAAAAAGAGAATTCATGGTATAAGCTTACATCATCTATCCCAGGAACTTTAGGAGATGCAAACTTTGTATGGTAGCTCCTGCCACTAGCTGGGTGGATCCAACGCCCGGTAATTCTCTCCTCCAAAATAGCATCATCAATTGCAAAATTAAGAACTTTATCAACTTTGGTCCCCCGATTTTGAAGCATCTCATCAAGCTGTATGAATATAGAAAGGCATGAATCTGGAGATCTCATAGGAACAATACTAACACAATAATCATAAAGCCAATAAAAGTATATATTTTCAGGTGCCTAAGGAGGTAGGAGACCTTTTCTGCTTGCACCACAGTCCTTGGAAATCCATCAAGAATGAATCCTTTTTGACACGAAGGTTTCTTCAATGCTTCATCTATTATCCCAACAACCAAGTCATCAGAAACAAGTTCTCCCTGAAATGACAAGAGCAAAACAATTTCACAATGACAACGACAACCATTGTGGTGTCCTGAATATTTTATGATTGAAGTAGGAAGAGAATTACAATTAATTAACCAAAAGAAACCAGTTTGACCTTATCCATGGCCTCCTTCGCCTTAATGCCCAGAGGCGTTTTGGCAGCGACAGCAGCTCTCAGCATATCACCCGTGGCTAAATGACATAAGCAGTACTCATCCTTGATAACTGGAGATTGTGTACCTTTCCCAGATCCAGGTGGGCCTGCAGAATACATCTATTTAGAAAACTCAACAACTACAATATTACAGAGAAAAGCTACTTAAGTGTTTTAATGTTTCAAGAATATAGCAAACTAGCAGAGAACCATTGCACATTTACAAAGCAATCCATATAAGCATGCCAATGCAACAACTACAATATTGAAAAGAAAGCAACTCTGCCTTTTGTCTCAAAGGACAAAACTAAGCAACTCCGTTTTTACGTCTCAAAGGCCAAAGCTATAGTAAACTAAGCTGAATTAACTTTAAGTCCATGGATGAAATCATTTCTCCAGGAATCCTAAAGCCAAATGGAGAAACACAATTGCTATGAATTAAAAAAGTGTCAATTAGAAGGAAAAATAAAAGGAGAGAACACATCAAAAAGTTTTGATAGAGAAATTAGCTCCACACCTAAATTCATTTTATCAAAAATCCTCAAGCGGGCAAGATTCCTAAACTAGGCAAGGTGTAACCCATCTGGAGAGTACTTAAGTTAGTCCAGTTATAGATCACCATACTTGATGATAGAAAAGGAATACAAACTCCTGCAATAGAAAACTTGCAATTTTCAAATTTAGAAATATTAATCACTTAGACATCTACCCCCTTTTGAGCTTTAAGAAATTATCTTAGAGAACAAAAATATGGTCAAGAGTCCGAAGCAACATGAGAGGTGACATATTTGTCACTGCTCCTGTTGAAGCACGTGGCATCAATTGAAAAGCTCTTGCCTCCACTTTAAAAAGAAGTTCATCCCAACACAGTTTTGGGTCGCACGTGAGTGGGTTAGCATCTCCACACTTTCAAAGAGCTTTCAGCGAAGGAAAATGATTATGGCAAATAAAACAGTTTTTCTTATTGACAAATTGCAATCCAAAGAGTTTATAATGAGCTTTAAGAGAGAATAGTACTGCTACTTCCTGCTAGTAATAGCAAAAGTCAAACTAGTCAAAAAGCAAATACTTTCAAGGGCTTTCATCAACAAAGAGTAGTGTCAATGCAAAGACGTAAATAAAGTTACAATTTTTGGCTCTAGGATGGCAAGAAGTACTGCAGTGGATGGTGACTCATTGCAATGCGAAAACTGTCAATGCTCATATTCTCAGAATGGCTATAGCCGGTAGTGTGTATCATCTTTGGAAAGAAAGAAACATGAGACTTTTCCAGGGAAAGAGTAGGAGCACTAAGCTTATTATCAAAACTATTATCCAGGAGATCTTCTATGGGGGACATTCAATACCTAAGTTAGAGTTGAAGTTGCAAACCCTGAACTTTTATCCTCTTTAGTGTGTTGGCCAGGGCCTGAAGCTTAGACGTGACTGGGTTGTGTTCTACTCAAACTATGTGCTGCAGTTCTGCAGTTCTTTTTCGTTGTAATACTTCCAGTTGGTTAATAAAATTTGTTCTATATACAAAAAAAAAGATACAATTTAACATTATATCAAACTGAAAATTAGTTGAGTCAGCCAAAGACCCTTTAGTTTAAAAAGGATAACATAAGTTAGGGAAAGAAATATGTTTGAGCAAGCAAACAGAGCATATATATAAATTTCATCTCAATCAAATGAGATAGAGATATCAAAATTCTTTATTTTCAATCTTCCCAATCTACAGCATCACAACAAAATATGTGCCACTTTCAATTGTCGAGATCCTCAAGTAATATTTTATCACCTCCTCGAAGCCAATTTCATGCAATACAGGGAAAGGATGGAGCATGTCTTCTAATTCAAGCCTTCTTGCATCAAAATAAGGCAAATCTTACCATCTTCTTACTCAGTTCTTCTTTTGCATGATTGATGATACTCTTTGGCACCTTTGAGCATAATATTATTTTTCCTGACATTTTTTTTTTCTTTTTTGATAAGAGGTAACGACCAGGGGCGGAGCCACTATATAAGTTACGGGATCGGCCGAACCTAGTAACTTTAGTCCAAAACCTGTATTTGTCCTAAGGAATTCATTAAATATGTATAAATTATTCATTTAGAACCCAGTAACTTAAATTGACTAAAATCCAAAACCCGTAAACTTTAAATCTTGGCTCCGCCCCTTATTCTGGCTAGTGTCTTTATCTTTCCTAACCATCTCAACCACATATCTGTAAACAATCCCCAAAAATTTTCATCATCGGTCCATGTACTTGTTTTCAAAAACGAATAAAATAATTCTTTTGCAGATGCACAATGAGCAACTTCTTCTACCTTATGATTCAGGAATTTTTCTTTCTATCTCACCAAGTAATCATTTTTAGCCTTCACTTCCTCACTCAAAATTGATCCAATATCCCTATAGCTAGCCAGAGATCTTCTTCAGATTCTTTTTACGTATTTTTAAAAATGAGGAAGGCTTTGAGACCCTCACACTCTCAATGCAGTCCACAGTTCCAAATTTCATGGACTCATTTTCAAACCCAACCGAGAAACCAGCTCAGTATTAACTAACCCCATTTTCCATGTGAATCTGTTGATTCAATTAGATTAGGACTATCTCAGGACTCTTCGTATTAAGAGTTCAGATCTCGAGAGATCAGCTTAACATACATACCTATGAAAATCTTAGACATTAGCATTAACAATCAAACTCTTTTAATGAATTAAGTAATTTTGAAATAATGCTTATTTTTTTCTACAGTGCGGTGTTTTTGACAAAATTTCCAGGGTCTCCCTACCAAAAATCTAAAAGCAAAACAAAAAGTGGAAGACCCCTTGCTACTTGTAAAAGCACATAAATCATCGATTTCCCAGAAATTTCATCTCCTTTCCAGTATGTAGAAGCACCCCCCCCCCC